AAGAGGTACTTTGACAAAGGCACTGTCGGGATGACACGTCTCGAATTAGCACTTGGGCGGCCGTGCATGTCTGGCATCAACCTAATCCCTAAACCCTAAACCCTAAACCCTAAACCCTAAACCCTAAACCCTAAACTCCTCATCCTAGGCGTCAGGCATTTACGGTAGCAGAGTCGTTGGTGAAGCTTGTCGTGGAGGATGCCTTCGCGGAAAGGAAGTGGGTCAGAAGTTCGGGCTTCTGTGGAGCAGGTTTAGGGTTTAGGGCTAGGGTTTAGGGTTTAGGGTTTAGGGTTTAGGGTTTAGGGTTAGGGTTTAGGGTTTAGGGTTTAGGGTTAGGGTTTAGGGCTTAGGGTTTGGGTTTAGACTTTAACGAAAATAGACCCAATTAGGAGGATTCCCTTTTGAGAGGACGCCCAATAAGGTACTCCAACCCCCCCCCCCCCCCCCCCCCCCCCCCCCCCCAATGTCGTAAACCCCCATATAGGACAACACACGAATGCTTCATTTAAACCACAACACATATGCCAACTCCTACTTGCCCTGCTGATGGTTTGGGTTTAGAAGGGTTTAGGGAACATATGAAGTGGGATGCACACCTAAGCCATGACCGTGAACGTAGGGTCCAGGGTTTAGGGCTTGGGGCTTAGTAGGGTTTAGGGTTTAGGGTTCAGGGATGTGGTGGATGGGGGGCGGGGGGGTGCGGGGGGAGAACCCCTGGATGGGTCCTTGGGAACCAAACGAACCCTAACAGGCTTCTTTCTGCTATAGGTAAGGTCTTTAACGTAGTGGGGAGTATACTGGGAGGGTCATGGTACTTATTAACCAAGTATAACTGTACGTAGAACCCCACTTATAAGCCCCTTAACTTCCCGAAGATGGTTATAAGTACAGTTATAAGTCTACAGGTATAATTGGCTACTAAGTACCATGAACCTCCAAGTAGTGGCATACACCATTTTTAGGGATCATGTGGCCTTTAAGGGTGGATATATGCCGCTGAAGCATGTCACATTGTCGAAATAGCCCGCGCATGCAGGCTTTGTCCAGAAGCGCCCTTGCCATTTTTCTCTCATTGCCAGCTTCTTTCAATGGTATTGCCACGGAAGCACCCGCAGCCAGGCGAAGATTTGCGAGTTGAGCTTACATCTCGGGAATATGCGACATGGGAGCCCATGGTGGCCCGCTGCTTAAAAAGCGGAAGCCGACAGCCTCCAGTTCATGGTTGGGACAGCATTATAAATCTAAACTATTCCGTATTAAACCTCAGTACACTTAAACATGTAACATGTTACCGCACTATGACAAAGGCCTCATGTGTCGGATCAACCAAGAGCCTCCCGGCTCTCGATGGAAGACTTGCGGGTAAGCAGAGCGAACTCTGCACCCAAAATCTAAACTCCCTAGTTCTTAGTAGAGAATGAGGAAATTAGGGCCCTATATGTACCCTTTAAGGAACTATATAGAGTACCTCATTCCCTCATTCCCTACTAAGAACCAGCCAGAGAAGCCAAACCAAGCCATCCTAATAAAGGTCCAGTCCGGGATGTTTCGCCGGGCTCCCTTGTGCTTGCTTGCTGAGGGTTCAGGCTTTAGGGTTTAGGGTTTAAGGATTAGGGTTTAGGGTTTAGGGTTTAAGGTTTAGGGTTTGCCAACATCGGGCCCAATCAGGATTTCCGGCTCTGCTTCAACAAGACAGGTAGCCAGCTCGTTAAGGATGGTGCCCTATGGGTACCCTAACCCTAAACCCTAAACCCTAAACCCTAAACCCTACACCCTAAACCCCCAACCCCAAACCCTAAACCCTAACCCTGAGAGGCTGGAACCTAGTAGGCCCAAAAACTCCAGTTCATAGAGAGCCTGCCATCTCAGGGCCCTTTGTGCACTCCTTGGCCTAACCAAAGCCTCGATTGCAAATAAGCACCCCGCGGTTTAGGGTTTAGGGTTTAGGGTTTAGGGTTTAGGGTTTAGGGTTTAGGGTTTAGGGTTTAGGGCTTTCCAATATTTCGAATGCCCATCGGGCGCCCGACACCCTAAACTGAACCGTTTGAACTTGTTCTCCAGTTCTCCAGTTCTGTGAGTGGGCCGTGCCAATCTCCTTGAGGGTAGTCCCTCAACCCAAAACCCAAAACCCCAAACACTAAGCCCTAAGCCCTAAGCCCTAAACCCTAAACCCTAAACCCTAAGCCCCAAGCCCCAAACCGAAACGACATGAGCCTCGGCTGCGAAGATGAATGTACTAGAATGCAACGGTCAAACGGGGTTCGTACCCAGGGAGCCTGAGCATAGGGCTCGATCAGCAATGGTTGCTTGAGTTTTCTGACTTCTGATTGACCTGGGGCGCTGTCCTGTGACTGATGTGATTGCTGTTTTGTCGTGCATGTTTCCCGTTGTTGATATCTTCGTTGTTGCGTGTCTTGTAGTTGTGCTGCCTAAACGCTCATTATCCTACTATACGTTCCCATGTTTCTCAAACGCGTGACGTGCTCAACCCTAAACCCTAAACCCTAAACCCTAAAACCCTAAACCCTAAACCCCAACAGTGCTTGACTTTTGTTTTCAATCCTCAACGCCCGTTTGGCCGAACAAAAGCTCACAATGATGCGCTCGGCTGCCATGCCGGGAGAGTGCCACGAGGACAGGGCCAGGGATATTTTCCCTATGTTTTTTTACGTTTGTTTTTCTTGTTTCCCCCCCCGTTTTTTTGGTCGGTTTAGGGTTTAGGGTTTAGGGTTCAGGGTTTAGAGTTTAGGGTCTAGGGTCTCGGGTTTAGGGATTTTAGGGTTTATGCAAGATGTCATCGGACGTCCCATGCGAGAAGAACGCAAGAGATCCTTAGCGAAGAAGTGAATTATCAATTGACTGCAGAAAACTAAGATATCACCGCCTTCGCTGCCTGTGGCGTTTTTAGGGTTTAGGGATTTTAGGGTTTAGGGCATAGGGTTTAGTCTAGGGTTCAGGGTTTAGGGTTTAGGGTTGCTTGGCTTGCTTGGCTTGCTTGGCTTGCTTGGCTTGCTTGGCTTGCGTGGCCACACGGCCGGAAAAAAATAAGGAAAAACACGGAAAACAACTAAGCAAAAAAGACCGCCACCCGAGGACAGCAGCTCAAAAATAGGGTTTAGGGTTTAGGGTCGAGGGTGCCTAAACAAACCCCGAACCCTAAAACCCGAAACCCCAACCCCTCATCCTGGCACTCCCCCAACCGCGAGCAAGAGCAGGACGTAAATGGGTAGCACGTAGGCCCTCACTTTGGACTATCTACGTATGTACGTACGTACGGCTGCTTAGGGTTGAAAGCTTCGCATGTATCCCCCGATCCCTTGAGAGCTGCCAAACCCGCAAAACAACATCTTGGCATTTGGGAATGGGTAGAGACATATTTAGGGTTTAGGGTTTAGGGTTATATGGCTAGATTTGGGTATGTCTGCAGGCTGCGAACTACTAGATTTCTTGCAAAGGTGCCGTGCTCAGCGGGGTTCCTGAGGAGTTTACAGCGAGCTCAAAGTACTGCTCAAAAAACTGCTTGCCTATTACGGACCTGGCATACATACACAAACATACACACACACATAGATATACATATATATATATATATATATGTATACATATATATATATATATGTGTATGTATGTATGCGTGCATATATATATATATATATGTACGTATGAACATAGATATATAGCTTGCGATCAATTCTACCGTGTTTTTCGGGGCCGATTGGGAGACGCGAATTAAAAAAAAAAAAACGCGATCTCGCTCCTGTAAGAGCAGATACAGAAGTCTGAGTCATATTCCGAACTGCTCCAAGAGTTCTTTCAAAGTGCTGGTTGTCTACTTTTTGCTCTTTCTGTTTGTTGCCTTGCTGTTCGGTCCCCTCTTGCCTCTCTCTCCCCCCTCCTCTTCATTTGATTTCCGTCCACATTTCTTCGTATTTGGTCCATAAATGGCCTAGTGCAAGCACTACTTGACTAGAAACAAGCACGTTTGGGTAGACAAAACACATATAAACCGTAAACCCTGAACCCTGAACCCTGAACCCTAAACCCTACAGTAACCATGCCCCAACGTCCCAAAGCATCTGAAATGGCCTCTGAGCATCGCCTCAACGAGACTCAACATGAGTGTTTCCCAAAATAGGGGTACCCTTTTTATACCCCAGATAGAAGATAAATCCCTTCAAAGGGACCCCCCCTAAAAAGGGTACCCCTATTCTCGGAAACCCCCCACATCTAAATACACAGCCAATCCTACGTTGTCGGCCTCAGAGGTGGGTGTCACAGAAGCTGCCCTCCACTGCCCAGTGTTCCCTATACCCTAAACCCGAAAAACAAAAACTGCTGCGTCTGTCCCGTATATAGCACATACATACATACATACATACATACATACATACATACATACATACATGCATGCATGCATGCATACATACATACATACACACATTCCTATATGTATATCTTTAAATAGGTGACCAATATGTATATGTATGTATGTATGTATATGTAAAGACAAATATATCATTAATTGTGTTAATTCTGATGTATTCATATGTATATATATATATACATACATACACATCATACTCACAGGTATACATGTACACATATGCACATACAAAAATACATACATACATCTACATGCATGCATACATACATACAGACAGGCAGACAAACGTTCATACATACATTCACTAACTGTATGCTATGTACACCGTCATGCCCCACTGTACAGAAACTAAGCTCATGGGCCCCGTGCATTCCCATGTCTTGCAGCAATCCCCGAAAGCGAGAAAAAATCATCAACTCTCTTAGGCCATCTTGAAAAATCGCCACTGCGACCCCCGGGCTGCGGAACGACCCCAAAACCCTCTAGACCCGAAACCCTGAGCCCCAAACCCTTACACCCTAAACCCGAAACCCTAAACCCTAAAACCCTAAAACCCGAAACCCTAAACCCTAAGCCCCCCCAAAGCTCTTGGCATCCCCTGGTCGGTAGTCAGCCTTCACTCATCGGAGGCCTGCCGCCGCGCGGTGACAATGTCACTGAAGACATCTGGAGCGATCTCGACATTCCTGGGTTTCCCTTTTAAAGTTTAGGGTTCAGGCCCTTTGTCAAAGAAAAATGCAAAAGACCCCCCAAAGCCAACCTAGCTTCTTCCGGAACAGGTCCAAGCGATTGAGATGCTTCTCGTGCAGAGACCGACCGGGAGGGCGAGGCACACCTGATGGAACTTGCCCCCTCCACGTCGTAGAGTCCCAAGACGACTTGAGCGCGAACTGTGGCTTTCGCAACGGCTTTGGGCCAGCCGTCTGCTTCATCGGCATCAAGCTCTGGCCGTTTGGTCTCTGTCGCCTTTGGACATTTTCAGGATGGACGGCAACCCCTGCGGCACATCCCATGGCTTTCACGATGGTTGCCCGATGTGGCTGCTGGAGCCTGAAATGTTGCTTCTATGGTAAGCTTGTCAACTCGCGGGCATTTCACTCAAGGGGCGCAAAGGACAATCCGGACATCACGTTGCCTAGGATCTATGAGGGCGCAAAAAGCACTGCGATTGCAGGGAGCCTGGTCACTAGCCCCTCAATTCCGGCCCTAAACCCGAAACCCGAAACTACAGGCCTCAAGCCCCAAGCCCTAAACCCAAAACCCAAAGACAGGAGCCTTGTCTTGTAGACTTGGGCTGTAGGGCCGCCAGGATTAGAGAGTTTCGGAGTTTGGCGCAAGCCAGTCTTGTGTGTGGCATGGGGGGTCAGGGTGTGAGGGTTTAAACCCTAAACCCAAAACCCTAAACCCTGCTTAGGGGCCTCTCAAAGCAAGGCGATCCATGACTCTCCATGCTTGGTAGCCCAGTAACCTTATCATAACAAGGGCACTCCTTTTTGGCTAGGTCATTTTTATAAGGGAGCCCATGACAAAAACAGGGTAATCGGCACTACTGGGCTACCAAGACTGCATTTTTGCTAGTCTCATTGCCAGCCTTGCGTTTTGCAGGGGTTCGCTATGATCTGGGTCTGTAAACGATGGTCCGTTTTGGAGTGCCCCTGACAGAAGTACTATGTTATCATCGGGACCCTGTGGGACCCAAAACTACAAACCCAAGCTTAAACCCTAAAACCTAAAAAAGCCTAAAACCTAACCCTTGAACCCTCCCTTAAAATTCAGGGTACAGGGTACAGGGTTCAGGGTTCAGGGTTCAGGGTGGGGGGTGGGGGGGGGGTGGGGGGGGGGGGGGGGGGGGAGGGGGGGGGGGGAGGGGGGAGGGGGGTGGGGGGGTGGGGGGGGGGGGGAGGGGGGGGGGGGGAGGGGGGGGGGGGGTGGGGGGGGAGGGCGGTGCGGGAAGCACAACTGTCCGAGCCAACGGCTGTAGTGGTGCTGGGAGTGGTGGACGAGGAGGTTACCTTATCTGGAACTCAGGAAACAAAGTAGATGAAAGAAAGCAGCCAGTCACTTGTTTTACTAAGCCTTACACCCTAAACCCTAAACCTAAACCCTAAACCCCATAAGCCGATCCAATTCTGGGGGACCTACTTCCCGGGGCTTTGGGGCCAGGAGGGCGCCTTTTGATGGCTTGATGGGAATCGAGCTATTGAAAAGGAATAAGGGTTCAGGTTTCAGGTTCAGGGTTTAGGGTTTAGGGTTTAGGGTTTAGGGTTTAGGGGTACAGTACATGGTACATGGGTCGTTTGAGCAAGGCTGCGAGTCTTGTGCCCAGATTTCAGGATTGTTGGTCCCTTGCTCGGTGGGCTTTAGGATTCTGGGGTTTAGGGTTTAGGGTTTAGAGCTTTGGGTTTAGAGTTTGGGTGCTTAGAACTGAGCCACAATGCTTTGGGCTTTCGGGTTTTAGGGTGCCGGGTCTGAGGTTTTAGGGTGTCGGATCTGAGTGGTTACCCTAAACCCTAAACCCAAAACCCTAAACCCTAAACTTAGCCCAGAAACCCCAAACCCTAAGGCAGAACAGGGATTGCCAAGCCCCTCTTTCAAGCCGCGGCACAGTCGTGGCAGAGGTGGCCACGGTGGTAGTGGTCGAGGTGGAGAGCGTGGCAGCGGATGTGGTGTGGGTGGTGCTGACCTCAACCCCAGAAATTAAAACCCTGTTTTCCTGAACCCTGAACCCTGAACCCCTAAACCCTAAGCCCTCAGCCCTAAACCCTAAACCCTAAACCACAGCTCACGTTTTGTTTACCCTGAGACCCTCCTGCGTCTCTTCGGGGTTGGGGATGTATAGAAATTGTATAAGGTTTGGGCGCCAAAAGATTGACAGGAGATGTTGAACGACCGCGGCACAGTCGTGGCGGAGGTGGCCACGGTGGTAGTGGTCGAGGTGGAGAGCGTGGTGGTGGATGTGGTGTGTATGGTGAAGGTGACCTGGGCCAAGTGCCCTAAACCCACTGACCTCAACGCTGAAGATTGAAACCCAGTTCTCCTGAACCCTGAACCCTATACACCCTAAACCCTAAGCCCTAAGCCCTCAGCCCTAAACCCTAAGCCGCAGCTCACGTTTTGTTTACCCTGAGACCCTCCTGCGCCTTTTAGGGTTTGGGGATGTATAGAAATTGTATAGGGTTTGGGCGCCAAAAAGTTTTGACAGGACATGTTGAACGACCGCGGCACAGTCGTGGCGGAGGTGGCCACGGTGGTAGTGGTCGAGGTGGAGAGCGTGGTGGTGGATGTGGTGTGTATGGTGAAGGTGACCTGGGCCAAGTGCCCTAAACCCACTGACCTCAACGCTGAAGATTGAAACCCAGTTCTCCTGAACCCTGAACCCTATACACCCTAAACCCTAAGCCCTAAGCCCTCAGCCCTAAACCCTAAGCCGCAGCTCACGTTTTGTTTACCCTGAGACCCTCCTGCGCCTTTTAGGGTTTGGGGATGTATAGAAATTGTATAGGGTTTGGGCGTCAAAAAGTTTTGACAGGACATGTTGAACGACCGCGGCACAGTCGTGGCGAAGGTGGCCACGGTGGTAATGGTCGAGGTGGAGAGCGTGGTGGTGGATGTGGTGTGTATGGTGCAGGTGACCTGGGCAAAGCGCCCTAAACCCACCGACCTCAACCCTGAAAACTAAAAACATGTTTTCCTGAACCCTGAACCCTGAACCCTATACACCCTAAACCCTAAGCCCTCAGCCCAAAACCCTAAACCCTAAACCACAGCTCACGTTTTGTTTACCCTGAGACCCGTCTGCGCCTCTTAGGGTTTGGGGATGTATAGAAATTGTATAGGGTTTGGGCGTCAAAAAGTTTTGACAGGACATGTTGAACGACCGCGGCACAGTCGTGGCGGAGGTGGCCACGGTGGTAGTGGTCGAGGTGGACAGCGTGGCGGTGGAAGTGGTGTGGGTGGTGCTGACCTCAACCCCGGAAATTAAAACCCTGTTTTCCTGAGCCCTGAACCCTGAACCCTATAAACCCTAAACCCTAAGCCCTCAGCCCTAAACCCTAAACCCTAAACCACAGCTCACGTTTTGTTTACCCTGAGACCCTCCTGCGCCTCTTAGGGTTTGGGGATGTATAGAAATTGTGTAGGGTTTGGGCGCCAAAAAGTTTTGACAGGACATGTTGAACGACCGCGGCACAGTCGTGGCAGAGGTGGCCACGGTGGTAGTGGTCGAGGTGGACAGCGTGGCGGTGGAAGTGGTGTGGGTGGTGCTGACCTCAACCCCGGAAATTAAAACCCTGTTTTCCTGAACCCTGAACCCTGAACCCTGAACCCTGAACCCTGAACCCTGAACCCTGAACCCTATAAACCCTAAACCCTAAGCCCTCAGCCCTAAACCCTAAACCCTAAACCCTAAACCACAGCTCACGTTTTGTTTACCCTGAGTCTTAGGGTTTGGGGATGTATAGAAATTGTATAGGGTTTGGGCGCCAAAAAGTTTTGACAGGACATGTTGAACGACCGCGGCACAGTCGTGGCGGAGGTGGCCACGGTGGTAGTGGTCGAGGTGGAGGATGTGGAGTGGGTGGTGCTGACCTCAACCCCGGAAATTAAAACCCTGTTTTCCTGAACCCTGAACCCTGAACCCTGAACCCTATAAACCCTAAACCCTAAGCCCTCAGCCCTAAACCCTAAACCCTAAACCCTAAACCACAGCTCACGTTTTGTTTACCCTGAGTCTTAGGGTTTGGGGATGTATAGAAATTGTATAGGGTTTGGGCGCCAAAAAGTTTTGACAGGACATGTTGAACGACCGCGGCACAGTCGTGGCGGAGGTGGCCACGGTGGTAGTGGTCGAGGTGGAGGATGTGGAGTGGGTGGTGCTGACCTCAACCCCGGAAATTAAAACCCTGTTTTCCTGAACCCTGAACCCTGAACCCTATAAACCCTAAACCCTAAGCCCTCAGCCCTAAACCCTAAACCACACTTCAGGGATTTACACCCTGAGGCTCTCCTGCGATTCTTAGGGTTTGGGGATTTATAGAAATCCGCCGAGGCCTCGGGCCGAAGGGCACCCTCCCAATCCTCCCCAAGCCCAAATATGTCGGACCCTTTTTTTTTACCTGGAAAGGGTACCCCCCCGTGGGCGACCACAATCTGAAAGCGGACGGTTCGCCAGGAACAGGGCTGCCCCCCTGCCCCCCCCCTGCCCTGCCCCCCTTTTTTGCCCCCCCCCCCCCCCCCCCCCCTTCCCTTCCCCGGCCCCCCCACCCCTTGCCACCCCCCACTCAACTTTACGATCAAGAGTATAGATGTGCCTGAATCATGGTTATATGGTGGGTGTTCGAGACCAATAATCTAGCTGCGGTCGTGTAAAGAAATAGGTGGGGGCCGCATTGTGGCAAAGATAAAAACCAGCTTGACATCCAGTAATTGATGAAGGCTTTCTGTTTCTTACTTGTATTTACAGTATACAAGCCCAGTTCGCTTGTCCTTCTAAGGGGTTTATGAGGGATCCCAACCCGAAAACAAGTTTTCATTGGTTTGTAGTGTAGTGCAAGTTTACTATTGGCAAGGACGTTTCCGTGAGCCTGCGGGATCTTCTAAGCCCTCAACCCTAAACTAACCCTAAACCCCGAACCCAAACCATAAACCATAAACCCGGAACCCTGAACCCTAAACCCAACCCTTATTGCTTGAGGTCCAGCGACTTGGGCGCTGCGGAATCACCATGCTCACGGATGCGCTGGGCCGGGCCGAGGCGGGTCGCGTAGCGTTAAAATTGTATATATGGGTTTTGGGGCGCCAAAAAGTTTTGACAGGACATGTTCAACGACCGCGGCACAGTCGTGGTGGAGGTGGCCACGGTGGTAGTGGTCGAGGTGGAGAGCGTGGTGGTGGATGTGGTGTGGATGGTGAAGGTGACCTGGGCCAAGCGCCCCTCACCCTGAAAATTAAAAACATGTTTTCCTGAAACCCTGAACAATGAACCCTACAAACCCTAAACTCTAAGCCAACAGCC